ACTTTTCATGGTGATGTTTCTCGCTAAGTGTTGGCTCCACAAATGACCAGATTAATTTCTCTCAATTTGACAATCTGTGTGTGTTCTTCTAGTTTCTCTCCCACTGCTTACTTTCTTTTCTGTTCGAAAGTTTGATGTGCAATTAGAGAAGTCAATCAAAACCGCATCCAGATCAGATAGTCACTCTGTTTGTCACAAGCTATTTATCACAGGAGTTTGAACATGGAAGGAAAACACACCGTTCTCTCTGGGGAGACCCTCTACACATGCTCTGTGTCTAGAAGAGTCTTTGAACATTCATCTCAAATGTCCAAACACCAGCACAGTCACACTGGGGAGAGATTGTGTAAATGTGAGGATTGTGAGAAGGGATTTTGTTACCCATACCAGCTGGAAACTCACCTATGCAGTCACATTGGGAGAGACCATTCATCTGCACGGAGTGTGGGAAAAGATTCACTGAGTCATCCCACCTGCTGGTACACCAGTGAGTTCACACTGAGGATAGACCTTTCATGTACTCTTGAGCATGGGAATGGATTCACTTGGTTATCCAACCTGCTCAAACACCAGTGAGTTCACACTGGTAAGAGACTGTTCACCTGCTGTCTGTTTGGGAAGGGATTCACTGAGTCACCCAACTTACTAACACACCAGTGAGTTCACACAGAGAAGAAACCTTTCGCCTGCTCTGAGTGTGGGAAGTTCACTTAGTCAACGCACCTGCTGGAACACCAGCGAATTCACATTGGAGAGAAGCCATTCACTTGCTCCATGTGTGGGAAGGGATTCACTCTGTCATCCAGCCTGCTGAGACACTAGCAAATTCACACTGCGGAGAGTAACCATTCACTTGCTCCATGTGTGGGAAGGTAATTACTCTGTCATCCATCCTGCTAACACACCAGTGAATTCACAAAGAACCACAGTTAAAGGAATGATGTCAAGCTCGTTGGCTTTTTTTTTGATGGTATTAAACGCTGCTGTGTTAAATGCGCTGATTTGGGAACTAAAATGTTAATACAATTGTGTAGCCGTAAGATTGGGTTTTGAAAGTTATTGTGCATGCACATATTCACCTGTATTTGAATTCCATCAGTTGAAACATTATTTTGTGGTGTGTTTATTGTTGCAGTGTTATCAGGCAGCCTAAAGTACTGGATTTATGTGCCAGTCGCTATTTAGTAGTGAGTTCCACTGCAATACGTCATCTGAAGGAGACTTGTTTCTTTGTGAAAATATCTGGAAAAGGAAGATCAAATGGTGAAAGCAGCAACAATATAACAAGTTCTGAAAGCTTGAAACAGTTTTCTTGGTGCTCGTGTTTCAGATTTCCTAAGCCCTTCCCATTTAGAAAATAGTCAACACTTCTATTCTTCCCACTAAATTGCACAACCCCACAGTTTCCCATATTGTATTCCATCTGCCACTTCTTTGTCTATTCTCCTAGCCTATCCAAGCCCTTTTACAGCTCTTTGCTTCCTCAACACTAACTGTCTCTCCACGCATCTTTGTCTCAACTGAAAACCCAGCTGCACCACCATCAGTTCCTTTGTCACGATCGAAAATGTATATTGTGAATAGTTGTGAGCCCAATATTGACCCTTATAGAACTCCACTGGTCAGTGTTTGCCATCCTCAATAAGACTCCTTTATGCCCACTCTCTGCTTCTGCCAGCCATCCAATCCTTTATCCATGCCAGGACCATGCCCCTTACATCATGGGCTTTTATGTTCTTCAGCAATCTGAATTGCTTAAACTCCTCTCCTGTTTTGTGTTTCAGTAAAATTCAGCCCTTCATATTCTTGGATTGTTTTTTGAAACATGAGGAGAACAAATTCACATGATCAGAATGAATGTGTTGACCTAATATTGAAGAACAAGTTCTCAAACTGAGATCAACAAGTTTGGTTAATTCCAGTTTTTAAACAGGATCGCTTGTGTCATAGAGTCAAACAGCACAGCAATAGACCCTTCAGTCCAACGTGTCCATGCCAACCAAGTTTTCCCAAATATACTAGCCTTGCTTGCCTGCATTTGGCCAATATCACAGACTAAAATCAGGAAAGGTGAGTAATTAGGAGGGCTCAGATCTGTGAGGGACAGCCAATAGATTTGAAATCTATCACCTTCACTACTTTGCCATGACTACAAGACTTATAGCGTTGTTAATATAGCAGCTCTGCACCCTCTCAGGGACCTTCCCATCCTTTCCAATGTGTGGGTGATCTCTAGATTTCACAGACCCTGATGTTCTGTGTTCCTGTGTGTAATGTTATCATGATACTTGTACTGAACCTCACTGTCTGTAAGTGTGGTAGCTGCAGAAGTCCTGTTAACATTTAAGATGTATTTAGATGCAGACTTGTGAAAGCTCACAAGGCTGTGGGCCAAGTGCTGGAAAATGGGATTGGAATAGTTAGGTGGTTACTTTTAACTGGCATAGACTCAATGGCTGCAGAGCCTTTTTTTTTTCTGTACCATATACCTCTGAGATACAATATAGGAATACAATAAACAACATCTGAAACCAGGTCAGGGAAGGAGATATTAGAGTAGATGACTCATCAATGGTCAAAACTTTCGGGTGGAAAGTGGAGTAAAGAGGCAGAGTGATTTAGAAGGAAATTCTGGACCTTGGGGCCTAGGTATCTGAAATTGCCACCATCAAGTGGAGAAATAAAAATGGAGTATTCACACAAGGCAATGAGGAAAGTGCATATCTCAGAGATTTATGAGGTTGGAGGAGATTACAGATAGGGAGAGTTTTGAGGCTGGAAGATATTACACAGATAGGGAGGATTGTGAGGCTGGAGGAGATTATGGAGATAGTGAGTGTTATGAGGCTGGAGGAGATGACAGAACTCAGAATGAATGTAAGGGCTAGAGAAATTGGTTCAAACAGGAAATCCTCGCTGACAGGTATGCCAGGGGTTCTGGTCACTCTAGGATCCATGTCTGAGCTAGCTGCATCACTGTTGTGTGCTACTTACGTGTAAATAAAGGGTGACTGCCCTTTATAGAGCTATTTCAGGGGTGAATTACAGAGATAGGGAAGATTGTGAGGCTGGAGGGGTTCACAGAGATGGGGAGAGTTGGAGGGGCTGGATGAGGTTACGGAGATAGGGAGGTTTGTGAAGTTGGAGGAGGTTACAGTGGTAGGGAGGACTGTGAGGCTGAAGGAGATTGCAGAGTTAATGAGTTTTGTCAGATATGGATGGGGTTACAAAGACAGGGAGAATTTTGAGGCTGTTGGAGAATGTCACCCAAACAACACTGTGGTGTACTTAAAGCACATGCACTGCAGCAGTTCAAGAAGACAGTTAACGGCCACATTCTCCAAGTCAAATTAAAGATGGCCAGTAAATATTGGACTGGAAACCATAGATCACGCTCCATGAATGAATTAACATTTATTTGGGTTTCTGTTTTGTAGAGACATATCAGTCGTCACAATTTTGGACCACAGAATCCAACTTTCAGATAATTGTCAAATAATGCAGGGTGAACATGTGAAAATTGTTTTACTCAGCATGTTCTGAGCATCCGGAACAGTTATTCCCAAAAGAGATTTAGAGTGTAGAATTAGAATTAGATTTTATTGTCACATGTACTCAAGTGTAGGAATACATGAGTGCAGCAAAAGGGGAACAATGCCGCCATTCTCCAGCTCTTAGATAACAAGGTGTAGAGCTGGATGAACACAGCAGGCCAAACAGCATCAGAGGAGCAGGAAGGCTGATGTTTCGGGCCTAGATCCTTCTTCAGAAATGGGGGAGGAGAAAGGGGTTCTGAAATAAATAGGGAGAGAGGGGGCGGCGGATAGAAGATGGATAGAGGAGAAGATAGGTGGAGAGGAGACAGACTGGTCAAAGAGGCGGGGATGAAGCCAGTAAAGGTGAGTGTAGGTGGGGAGGTAGGGAGAAGATAGGTCAGTCCAGGGAGGACGGACAGGTCAAGGGGGCGGGATGAGGTTAGTAGGTAGGAGATGGGGGTGGGTCTTGAGATGGGAGGAGGGGATAGGTGGGAGGAAGAGCAGGTGGTTAGGGAAGCGGGGACAAGCTGAGCTGGTTTTGGGATGCGGTAGGGGGAGGGGAGATTTTGAAGCTTGTGAAATCCACACTGATACCATTGGGCTGCAGGGCTCCCAAGCGGAATATGAGGTGCTGTTCCTGCAACCTTCGGGTGGCATCGTTGTGGCACTGCAGGAGGCCCAGGATGGACATGTCGTCTGAGGAATGGGAAGGGGAGTTGAAATGGTTCGCGACTGGGAGGTGCAGTTGTTTAGCGTGAACCCAGCGTAGGTGTACTACAAAGGAGGCTTGGGGACCGCTTTGCAGAATGGCCACCACCCCTCTGTGCTGTATGACACTGCTCCATTCACTATGAATGATGAAGCTCATCTCAGGGCCAAGGGAGAGGGAGGATCACTCCACTCACCTCGCCATGGGGCTCGGCTGACTGACAGCTTGCCACTGACCAATAGGACCGGACTGGGCGGGACTGACTGACCAATCGGAAGCGGTTGGTCCTCTGACCAGTGGGAGCGATTGAGGGGGCGGGGCGAGCAGGTCACGTGAACATTACCGCTGCCGGCGCAGTGCTGCTGTAATGGTGCCTGAGTGAGTGCGGGAATTGGTGACGGGAAAGTGGGAGAGACAGCGGAGACCGGGAGGAAAAAGGAATCAGTGTGGACCAGAAAGCTTTATAAACACACGGTTTAGGCCGTACACCTGAATTATAAACTCGAGGCCCCGCGTTTACAGCAAACGAGAAAATGGCTGCGGGCTTCAGGCAGTGATAGGCCCCGCGTTACTGCCACCATCTTTTTTGGGGGCAAGCTGGTCGAGCGCGCATGCGCATTCTTCTTCCTGCGTGGGGGCGGGGCGATTTGAAGAAGAATATTTATATAGCAGAGTGAAACCGAGAGAAATGTTTGCCATTTCTAAATTTCTATCCTGGACTAACGGTGACTTTTCTTTCGTGAATTGTTTTATAGGATATGAATTGAGAATAATTTACAGACCAGGATCTCAAAACCAGTTCTAACAGAATCAGCAGAGTGATCAGAATCTGAATGTCATTGGCATTTAACTGTGGAAGGAAAAAGGTTTGTGCATGGGAAAATATTTCTGATACGTTTGTAACTCTAAAAGCAACAACGTGTTCCAATTCACGGTTAGATCACTCCTGGGGTATGTGTTCAGGAAGGAGATATTGACCTGAGAGGGGCACAGATTTATCCAAATTACCACCTCATGTCTTGGAAAGAACTGTCATATTTTGCCCTTATTATCCACTTCATAATTTTAACCCTTAAATTCTCCAATCTCAAATATTTGCAAATTTCCTTTTAAAATTCCATATGGACGTGAGCAGCACTCTTTGAGGTGGAACAATCCAGATTCTTGAGTCCGAAGCATTTTAACATGCTAAATTGAAAGATGAGATGCTGTTCCCTAAGCTCCCATTAAGCTGCATTGGAACAGTACAGGAGGCTGAGTTCAGAGTCGGTGTGAATAGACAATTAAAATGACAAGGCTGCACCGTGAGTGCTGCTTGGCTCAATGATAGTGCTTTGGAGTTGGGAGAAAACCAAATAGTGAGGTGAGACAGGGAGACCGTGAAGCTGAAAGACTGAATTCAGTCTCAGTCTGGGCAGTTCAGAATTGACACAGGCCAAATTGAAAGAACTGATAGGTAAGTGATACTTCCAGAGTAATTTCTTGCAGATTTTAAAGTACAATATATCACCTAAAGTACAGTTGGGAGCTTTTGATTTTAATACAAGTGTTTGAAGCAAAGAAAGATCCCTAGCTCAATTTAATTCTCTTTAAAGGGAGTAATGAGTTTAATTTATAAAGAAGTCATGGCAGGAAACCTCAGACCCCTGGTGTGCTCCTCTTGCACAATATGGGAATTAAGGGATGCTTCCAGCTTTGCCGATGGCTATGTGTGCAGGAAGTGTGTCCATTTGCAGCTACTGGCTAACTGCTTTTCAGAGCTGGAGCTGTGGATGGACTCACTGTGAAGCACCCATGATATTAAGAAAGCTGTGGACAGTATGTTTAGCAAGATGGTCACACCGCAGGTGAGACTCAGCACAGGCAGATGGAAAAGGGTGACTATTGATAAAGTAAAAGGGTCAGGAAGGAATTGTAGGAGTCTCCAGTGGTCATCCCCCTCTCAAAAACATATACCACTTTGGATACTTGAGATGGTTGGGGATGGCCTCACAGGAAATCAAGTTCATTACGCCACGAGTGGCTCTACTGCACAGAAGGGGAGAGAAATGAGTGGCAGGGCTTAGTGACAGGGGATTCAATAATCAGGGGTACAGACAGGCACTTCTGTGTCCATTGACATGAATCCAGGATGATATGTGACCTCCGTGGTGCCAGGATCAGGGATAGGACATTTTGGACCTGGAGGGTGAACAGGCAGTGGTTGTGGACCACATAGGTACTAACAACACAGGCGAACAAAGGGATGTGGGCCTGAAAGCTGAATGTCGGAAGATGGGAGATAAATTAAAATACAAGACCTAAAATGTAATAATGTCACACTTGCTGCCAGGGCCACATGCTTGCAAGAGCTGGATTAAGACGATAGATTAGATGAATGTGTGGCTGGAGAAATTGTGTTCCAGAGAAGAGTTTAGATTCATGAGGCATTGGGACTATTTCTGTGGGAGTTGGGATCTGTACAAGCCTGACCGGTTGCCACTGGGCAGAGCTGGGACAAATCTCCTCTTGGGGGCTTTTCTGGTTTCATTGGTGTGGTTTTAAACTAGTATGGCAGGGGAATGGGAATCAAAGTGTAGGCTTAGATGGGTCAGATTCAGATCAGGAAATGGGAAGTAGAATGTTAGTTAGTGATGCAGTCAGCAGTTCAGAGACACTAAAGAAAGGAGGATTTAACAAGGATAGATTATCTCTGAACACATCAGCCTTGGCATCCCAGGAATCCGTCTGGTGAACCTTCTCTCAATAGTCAGGTCAACCTTCCTTGGGAAAGGAGAACAAAGATGCACACAGTACTCCAGGTGTTGTCTCACCAAAGCCCTTACAGAAAGACATCCCTACTCCAGAACTTGAATCCTGACACTGTGAAGGCCACCGTATCATTTGCATTCCTCACGGCTTGCCGCACCTGCTAGCATACTAAAAGAGAGAGTCACAGAGAAGCATTGAACAAAATGGCGTCAGAGTCTCTGACATAAAATGGTAGAGAACAATGTACCATTATGTCCATGCTGGTCATCAAGCACCTATTTACTCTAGTCCCATTTTCCAGCACTCAGCGTGTAACCTGTATTGTAGTGTCTTGTGTGATCATTGAAAACATTTCAAGGTTGCAATGGTCCCTGCATCTGACACCATTTCAGATGCTGCCAGACCCAGCTGAGTAACTCCAGCATTTTCTGTTTTTATATGAAATTTCCACCATTTTGCTTAATCATTGAGTCATGGACATATACAACATGGAAACAGACCCTTTGGCCCAACTCGTTCATGCTGACCATGTATTCTCAACTGATCTCGTCCCATTTTCCAGTGTATCCCTCTGAAACCTTCCTTTTCATGTACCCATCCAGATGCCTTTAAAATGTTGTAATTCTATCAGCCTCCACCACCATCTCTGTCAGCTGGTTTCATGTGTGCACCATCTTCTGTGCAAAAAGATTGCCCCTAAGCTCCCTTTTAAATCTTTCTCCTCTCACCTTAAACCTATGCCCTCTGGTTTTGAATTCCCCTACCCTGGGAGAAATACCTTGGCTATTCACTCTATCCATGTCCCTCATGATTTTCTAAACCTCTATGTGGTAACCCCTCAGCCTCTGATGCTACAGGGTATAAGTTCCAATCTACTCAGCCTCTCACTATAGCTCAAATTCTCCAAACACAGCAACAACATTGTAAATCTTTTCTAAACCCTTTCAAATTTAACAACATCTTTGCTATAACAGGGAGACCAGAATTGAACACAGTATTCCAAAATTGGCTGAACTAATGTCCTATGAAGACTTCCCACCTCCTGTACTCAATGCACTGACAAATAAAGGTAAGTGTGCCAAATGCCTTCTCACCACCCTGTCAACCTGCAACTCCACTTTCAAGGAACTATAATTTGTTATTTGCCCTTCAGAGGGATTGAAGATTATGGGGAGAAAACAGGAACAGGATTGTGTTGTAGATCTATAAAATGCCTCTGTTTCACGTCTGCCTCTCCTACCTCTGTCTCTTTCTGCAGTTTTGTGCAAACACTGACTGGTTCCCTTTCATGAAGGACATTTATGAACTTATTCAGTTTTTATAATAATCCAGCAATTTCCTTAGGTGTCATCTCCACAACTGACCAGATTAATTTCTGTCAGTTTTACAACCAGTATTTTCTTCTGGTTTCTTCCAATAAATTTGCTTTCTATTTGAAAGGTAATTTTGCAATTAGAGACTTCAAATGAAACCACATCCAGATCTGACTGACAGATAATCTGTTTATCATAATCTAATTATCTCAGGATTTTGAATATTGAAGGAAAAAGCACCATTCACACTGGGGAGAAACACGTATTGTCTGTGTGTGGAAAAGCCTGTGAAGATTCATCTGAATGTCCAAATGCCAGTGCAGTCACCCTGGGGAGAGACTGTGGATATGTGGGGATTGTGGGAAGGGATTTCTTGACCCATCCGAGCTTAAAACTCACCCGTGCAGTCACACTGGGGAGAAGCCATTCACCTGTGCTGATTGTGGGATGGCATTCACTCGGTCATCCAGCCTGCTGAGACACGAGAGGGGTCACACTGGGGAGAGACCATTTACCTGCTCTGATTGTGAAAAGAGATTCACTTCATCATTCAGCCTGCAGATACACCAGCGAATTCACACAGGGGAGAGACCATTCACCTGCTCTGATTGTGGAAAGGGATTCAATTCATCATCCAACCTGCAGGTACACCAGCGAGTTCACACAGGGGAGAGACCATTCACCTGCTCCGTGTGTGGGAAAGGATTCACTCAGTCATCTAAACTGCTGGAACACCAAGGAATTCACACTGGAGAGAGACCATTTAAATGTGCCCAGTGTGGGAAGGGATTCACTTCCTCATCCAGCCTGCTGAAACACCAGCGAGTTCACACTGGGGAAAGACCATTCACCTGTTCTGAATGTGGAAAAGGATTCATTTGCTCATCTAAACTACTGGAACACCAGCGAGTTCACACTGGGGAAAGACCATTCACCTGTTCTGAATGTGGAAAAAGATTCACTCGGTCATCTATCCTGCTGGAACATCGGCGAGTTCATACTGGAGAGAAACCATTCACTTGCTCTGATTGTGGGAAGGGATTTAGCAAATCGTCCAACCTGCTGAGACACCAGCAGGTTCACAGTGGGGAGAAACAGTTACTCATTCAACTTACATGCTGATAGAGCAGCCTGTTCACTCTACAGAGAGCTCTTTCACTTGTTTTGTATGTGGGAATGGACACACCAGTGAAATGACACTAGGTGAATTCTGTTCATCTGCTGTGTTTGTGTAAAAAGCTTTGCTGTTTGCTAATACACCAGCAAATTCACAAAGAGTCACAGGTGAACGATTTTGCTTTTACTCACACCAAGGAATGAACTTTGGTCATGGGGCTGTTTGTACTAATGTTATTAAACCCTGCTCTACTAAAGGTACTGATTATTGTAGATAAAATGTTGATACAGTTGTGTATCTGTCAGATTTGTTTTGTAAATGATTGTAATGTCGCTGTAAATCAACACATTTACACTGGGTAAAGACTGTCCACCTGCATAGTTTGTTTCACCTGGACTGGTTAAACAACAATGAGGTCCCTAGTAACTATCAGTGTTGGACTTCGATGCTATTGTTATCTATATTCAAACCATGTTTTCTGTTCCTGTTTCTGATGATGTTTGTAAGATTATTATTAAAAAATAATTCAAATCAGCTTTTTGTTGAAACTATGTTGCATGAAGTCTTTATCTTATCTTTCAGGTGCTCAGAATGAGACAGTAAGTGACTTTCACATGAGCAGTTGGGAGAAGGCACGTTCAGATTGAGATATAGCCTGTAATGCTGGAAATTTAGTTACAAGTGCAGTTGGAGTGCATTTAACTTTGTAATAGGATGAGAACAAGAGAGAATATCCAAAAGTGTAAGAAGAGAAGAATCAACAAGTGAGTCAGGAAGGCCTCAACTCACAGATCAGTTCAGGTACAAGGCATTTTGATATGGTTGAATGGCATTGATTTTAATGCTGCAAGTTTGATGAACAAGGCAGATGTTTTGAGGATACAAATTAAAACATGGGGATTGATGACATTCCTGTCAGTGAAATATAGCTGAGAGAGAGAGAGAGGCAGGAATGGATACAGGGTCTCCATGCGAGACAGCGAAGGAGGCAAAAGAGGAGTGGTCACAATTATGTTCAGGGAATTTATTACAGCAATGAGTGATGACATCTTAAACTGAAATAAACCTGTATGGCTAGAACAAGTAGAGCTGGTAAAGAGGTGAATTTCAGGGAAGTGTAAAAGTAACTCATGATAGTGGAGGATTTCAACCTCCCCAACATTAACTGTGGTCATCATAGTGTGAAAGGTTCAGAGGAACTTTTAAAATAGATCCAGGACAGCTTTTGAAGCCAATGTGTAGAAGTCCCAATAAGGACAGGGGAGGTCCTGGACTTAAATTTAAGTGACAAAGGTGGACAATTGATTGAAGTTCCAGCGGAGCAGCAGTTTGCAGACAGTTATCAGAACTCCTTTCAAAAGATTCAGGATTGTTATGGAAAAGGACAAGGATGGGCTTCAAATAAAAGTTCTAAATTGGTTGATTTTAGGAAGACCAGACATGATTTGGCCAGAAGGTGCAGGGAGCAGATAGCAGATACATTTAGGGAAATATGCAAAAGGGAATTTAAATGGGGAGATAAGGAGAGCTATAAGGGGAACATGAATTGTTGCAGCCAGGTAAAATAAGGGAAAATGCTCAGTTGTTTTACAGTACATTAATGGTTACAGGGTAATGTGGAAAAGATAAAAGCCCATTTAGGACCACAGTGGCATCTATGCATGTAGCCAAAGGATATAGGCCTGTTTTTTTTTAAGAACAGTCCTAAATGAATACTTTGCGTCAGTGAGAGAGACGATTGAAGGAGAAGGTCTGTGATAGAATATAAAGAAATTAGCATAGAGAGAGGGGACATTTTGAGTAGTCTGAGGGACAGTATTAATTTGCATTGGAGAGGCTGGGAGTAATCAAGAATAGTCAACATGCATTTTTTTAAGGACAGTTCATGCCTGACTAACTTGATTCAACTTTTTGCAGTATTCACGTGTGTCAATAGGGCAATACTTTTGATGTATTCTGTTTTGATGCCAGCAAGGCTTTTCAGAAAGTCCCGCATGGGAGACTAATGCAAAGGTAAGAGCCCATGGAATCCATTGAAATTTGGCAAATTGAATCTACAATCAGCCGAGTGGCAGAAAGCAGAAGGTAATGTTCGAGGGTTTTTTTTTCCTGACTGGACGTCTGCGTCCAGTGGTGTCCCACAGTGGTCAGTGTTGGGCCCTTGCGGTTTATGGTTCGTATAAATGATTTAGAATTGAATGTGGAGGGGTGGATCAGTTAGTTCGCAGATGATACAAAAGTAATGGGTGGTAAATCGTGAGTAGGGTAGCCTTAACTTACAGGAGAATGTTGATAGTCAGATGGGCTAATCAGTGGTTATGGAATTTAATCTGAGTCAGTGAGAAGTGAAATGTTTGACAGGGGAATTGGTCATTGCATTTGGCTGTTAACCAAAAGGTTGGTGGTCTGTTGACCAGCCAGTGATGGAAACCTATTTTTTTTTTCCCATCAGCATTCTCCATGACACAGGCCTGGATTGTCAGTGGGGATTTTGGCTGCAAGACAATTTCACCTAATGATGCTCCCTCCACAGTTAGACCTCAAAAGACAGCTTCTAATGCATGGTGCTGCAAATAATGAAGGAAGAAAATGGAATTTTGGCCTTAATTGCCAATTAATTTACTGCCCCTTAAATCCTGCCCATCTCTGATAGAAGTCCTGTAATTGTGAACATGAGGAAAGAGGCCACTCTTTTAGACAGGCAAATAAATGTGTGAAGCTGAGAGAGCAAAGAATGACAATAAATTTAAGAGATATATATGAACCAAAATTTCCAGTGCATGTTTCCTCCCTGGATTAATTTGCATGTCCATAAGGTTCCCTCACCAACTTCTACAGATGCACCATTGAAACCATATTGTCTGGGTGCATAACAGCCTGATATGGCAACTGCTCTGCCCAGAACAGTAAGGAACTACAGAAGATGTTGTGCACAGCCCAGACTGTCATGGAGGCCAACCTTCCATCCATGGATAACACAGTGTGGAGCTGGAGGAACACTGCAGGCCAGGCAGCATTAGAGGAGTAGGAAAGTTGACGTTTTGGTGGGCTCGATTTACTCAGCTTGATGCCGCAGAAAGACTGCCAACATCGTCAACGACCTATCACACCTCAGGAATGATCTCCTGGAACCTCTTCAGTCAGGCAGAATATACGGAAGCCTAAACACATGCACGAGCATGGTTCAGGGACAGCTTCTTCGTGGCCATTGTCAGACTCAGGAATGGAGTCTGTAGCCTCAAATAATGCTGATCTAGCTAACGTTGATCTCATGCCCTGTGCAATGTAACTGGTATGGCTCTAAGGCTTTTTGATTTGAACATCCTTTGCTTACTACGATTTGCCTGTACCACTTGTAAACAAAGCTTTTCACTGTATTTCAGTACATGTGACAATATATTAATCAATCAATCCTCTCTCTTCAGTTGCTGCACATGAACAGTTTTCCTCCCTCCCTCCCAGGATGAGAAAAGAAATGGAAAGGGGGAGATATTGCTTTGCCCCCAGATGTTGCACAGAGAAGGAAATCTGATTCTGAAGACAACGTCTGCTTTATAAAGTTCACAGTGAAGGGTTGGGGCTTGCCCAAAGTAGACAGTAGGAATTGCTGAGCTTGTCAGGGATGTCCTTGGGTTCCAGGCTGCAGGCCAGATGCACTGACATGAGAGACCCGCCTCAACACATTTTTCCCCATCCTCATCCTGGAGCTAAGGTTTCTAGAGCAACCGACTGCTGGCTCAGGCCAGAGTGAAAAGCCACTTGGGGTGCTGCCTCTCTGCCTTTCTTTGGAGGCTGCTGCTCCAAAAAGATACAGATCGAGCTTGACCGCTGGCGGCAGCTGCACTGCACTTGCTTTGGATGGCGGGACTGCACTGCACTTGCATGGCCCTCCTGCTGCTGACTGGGGGAGGGGAGAACAGTTTAGAAAACCTCCTCCTTAAATTTTCCTCCAGGTTATGCAACAGCACAAGGTTTGTGAATTTTCTTGTGCAGAAAGAGTCATTTGATGAATCAGAAGGTGAATGTGATCAGCCTCTGCCTGTTTGTGTCTTTAAGGTTTGTCTGTTCTGTCTGTGGTGAAAGGTATGGAGCATGTGGAAATAGAGTGTGGAAGACCACGGAGGAATTTGAAAATGAGGATGAAAACAAGGAGGCATTGCTGAGCAGAGGTCCAAAGCTTTTTTAAATAAGTTTATTGATGAGATGTGGGTATTGCTATCTGGATCAGCATTTATTGCCCATCTCAAGTGTTGCCACGGACCATGTTTGAAGTTTTATTGGAGATATTATGAGTGAAGCCGGTTGATGGGGTCATTTGGATTTTCTGAAAGCTTCTGATAAAGTCACACATAAGAGCTTAGAGTGCAAAATCAAAGTTCACAGTATTGTTGAGAATATACTGGTGTAGATTGAGAATTGGTTAGCGGACAGGAAACAGAGAACAGAAATAAATGAATATTTTTTGGAGCATCAGGCTTTGATAAGTAGACCACTACAAGGAGCACCACCCTTGGACCCCAGCTATTCAAAGTATATATCGAGGATTGGGATGATGGAATCCAATGTAGTATTTACAAGTTTATTAACATAAAACAATGGGGATTGTGAGTGAGCAGAACACAAGAGGTATTAGGGAGATTCAGACAATTTGAGTGAATGGCAAATTATGGCATTGCAGTATCAATGTGAAGTTATCCACTTTGGTAGAAAATTCAGAATGGCAGAATATAACTTACATGGTGGTAGATTTGGAAATGTTGAATTACAAAGGGACCTGGGTATGCTTGTATACCAGTCATTCAAAGCAAGCATATAGGTGCAACAGGCAGTTTAGAAGGCAAATGGAACTTTGTCCTTCATTGCAAGAGGATTTGATTACAGGAGCAAGGAGGTCTTATAGCAGCTGTGCAGGGTTTTATGAGGACACAAGTGGAGTCTGTGTGCAACTTTGGTCTCCTTCACGAAGAAACATTATTTTTGCTGCAGGCAAACAGCAACTTTTTGTGTCGGTGAGGTCTATAATGAGGAACAAGTGTTATCACCTTCCATGAATCAGGAAGAAGCTCCAGCTGCCTTGTTCTTGTTTTGAGTCAGATTTGGAGAAGATATCACTGTTGAGAACTCCACAAAGATTTGTCCACAGTGGGAAGTATGTGATATTCCTTCACTCCTGCTTTATTCCCCAGTCACAGAGTGACACAGAGTCTGATGGTACCATTTGTTTAGACACTCCCATTGCAGAATTCACAAAAGAAAGGGATGATATGGATATAATAATCGAGGAGTAGTGTGAAATATTAAATAATCCTGATGGACAGGAAGTGTTAGAAGAGATGGAATAATTGAAAGGACATAAAACACCAGAGGCAGATGGATAGTTCCCCAGGATGTTGAAGGAGGTCAGGGAGGAAATAGCAGATACTGTGAGGAATATTTTCCATCCTTCAGTAGACACAGGTGAGGTACCAGACGGCTGGAGGAATGGTCTGGATCTAGTGTGGCTCCTCTACCCTGGATCTGAATCTATATTCATC